TTTTTTGCGAGAACCTTTGGACATTTTATCTAGGTTTAACCTTCGGGTTGTCTGCCCGAGTCTCCTAGACCGGTTTCCCGTACTCATGGCTCGCATTCACTACATTAGTGAATTGAGCGCTAGGAGTATAATCCATTCGGTTCCCCTTTTTTCTTTTCTTTTTTTTTTTTTAATTTTTTTTTTATTAAAATGAGAGGGAAATATATACACCTCAAGCAACCATTACCTCCAAATCTAGCCCGCAACTCAATGTCATCATCACGAGGTTAACAATAAAATCAATTAAGGCACAAAGGGGGTGACTAGTGATTGCTTTTTATTCGAAAGAATAAAAGGGAGAGAAAATACAAGGAACGCCTCAATCATTTTCACGTTTCACAAATTCGATCACTTTATTTCAAAGTAGACTCAAGGCAAATTCTAACTGAATAAATTTCAAACCAATATCTCACAAGAAACGAATATGGCTCAAGCCTCACAAGGTAAATAATGTCATCCAAAAAAACCAAGCAAGTTAGTCAAAATATGCAACTCACTCTCATCATCAAAACTTCTTAACTCAATCAATCAATCATTAACTAGTCTTACAATACACCAAAGTCTAAGCTCAAAAAGACACGCAAATAATCCTAAAAATAGACTGGTCCACCAAGCAAGAGAAAAGAAATGAAACAAGCCTAAAAAGAAATGAAAACTAGACCTGGTCAACCATGTAGCAACATAAGTATGCAAAAACTCCCCCACACTTAAAATCAGACAATGTCCACATTGTCGATCGTCAGTAAAGGAAAGCTGTACCACATAATCAACTGACTCAAAGCAAAATAAACTGTACAAAAATAAAAGAGAAAGAGAAAAAAGAAACGTACAAAGCACAGTGACAAGTCACTGTGCATCCGTTGGTGGTAGTGGAGGTAAAGAAGGTTGACCCGATCCCGAACTTCCGCGAGTGTCCCACTGATGGAATTGGTCGTCCCATTCGCTCCACTTAGCGTACTGCTTCGCTTCCCATTGCTCCCAGCGTTCGTCATTCCGAGTAGTGTAGGCCTCCACTCTAGCATTGTGCGCCTCTTTTCTGGCCTGATACTCGGCTTGTTGTTGCTGGTACTGCACGAACCACGCTGGGGCTCGCTGATAATCCATCTGAGCGGGTCGTCCTCGTCACCTGAGGCGTGGTCGACCGGCTCCTCATGCTCGTCTACCACTAGTTGAGAAGGGCCTCCTACGGCTTGTTTCGACAGAGCCGCTTCCTGTGCCAATTGCTTCACCTCCTTCATGTAAGTGTCATAGCATTTACGTTCGGTATAGTGCGTGATCTGCGACCTCT